CGCCGTTTCTTCCCCGTTTCTCGCCGTTTCTTCCCCGTTTCTCGCCGTTTCTTCCCCGTTTCTCCCCGTTTCTTCCCCGTTTCTCCCCGTTTCTTCCCCGTTTCTCCCCGTTTCTTCCCCGTTTCTCCCCCATTTCTCGCCGTTTTTTCACCGTTCCTCCCGTTTCCCGCCTGGCAGCCGCCGCTGGAGAGCCTGGCCACGGTGGAGAAGACCGTGGAGCGGGAAACGGGCCCATTTCCCATTTTCTCCCCAAATCACCAGTTCTTTCCCGTTTCTCGCCGTTTCTTTCCCGTTTCTCGCCGTTTCTTCCCCGTTTCTCGCCGTTTCCCGCCATTTCTTCGTCGTTTCCCGCCATTTCTTCCCCGTTTCTTCCCCGTTTCTTCCCCGTTTCTTCGCCATTTCTGACCGTTTCTTCCCCGTTTTTTCACCGTTTCTCGCCGTTTTTTCACCGTTTCTTCCCCGTTTCTTCCCCGTTTCTCCCTGTTTCTCCCCGTTTCTCCCCGTTTCTCCCCCGTTTCTCGCCGTTTTTTCACCGTTCCTCCCGTTCCCCCCCTCGCAGCCGCCGCTGGAGAGCCTGGCCACGGTGGAGGAGACGGTGGTGCGGGACAAGGCGGTGGAGTCGCTGCGCGCCGTCTCGCAGGAGCACGCGCCGCCCGCGCTCGAGGGCCACTTCGTGCCGCTCGTCAAGCGCCTCGCGGGCGGCGACTGGTTCACGTCGCGCACCTCGGCCTGCGGCCTCTTCGGCGTCTGCTACCCGCGCGTGTCCGCGCCCGTCAAGGCCGAGCTACGGCAGTGAGTGTCACCCACGTGTCCCCAAGGGTCCCCAAGGGTCCCCATGGGGGGTTATGGGGGTCACAGTGTCCCCAAGGGGCTCCCACCTCCGCATGCGGCCTCTTCGGGCTCTGCTACCCACGGGTGTCCGCGCCCGTCAAGGCCGAGCTACGGCAGTGAGTGTCCCCATGGTGTCCCCATGGTGTCCCCAAGGGTCCCCATGGGGGGTTATGGGGGTCACAGTGTCCCCAGGTGTCCCCAAGGGGCTCCCACCTCCGCGTGCGGCCCCTTTGGCGTCTGTTCTCCCTGGGCATCGGTGCCCGTCAAGGCCGAACTGCGGTAGTGAGTGTCACCTACATGTCCCCATGGTGTCCCCATGGTGTCCCCAAGGGTCCCCAAGGGGGGCTATGGGGGTCACAGTGTCCCCAAGGGGCTCCCACCTCCACCTGCGGCCTCTTTGGGGTCTGTTATCCCTGGGTGTCCGCGCCCATTAAGGCCGAGCTCAGACAGTGAGTGACACCCACGTGTCCCCAAATGTCCCCAAGGGTCCCCTGGGTCCCCATGGGGGGCTATGGGGGTCACAGTGTCCCCAGGTGTCCCCAAGGGGAGCTGTGATGTCCCCAAGGGGCTCCCCAGCCCCGGGTCTCCGCGCCCGCCGAGGCCCAGCTGTGACAGTGAGTGACGCCCCCGTGTCCCCAAGGGCCACCCGGTGTCCCCAATGTGTCCCCAAGGGCCACGCAGGTCCCCGCGGGCGGTGGGGACAGCCCCCAGTGTCCCCAAGGGGCTCCTTGGCCCCGTGTGCGAGTGCCCATGGAGAACCAGAGCAGCGAGGGACGTCCCCAACGTGTCCCCAAGTGTCCCCAGGTGTCCCCGAGTGTCCCCAATGTGTCCCCAAGTGTCCCCAGGTCCTTCCGCACACTCTGCTCTGATGACACCCCCAGGGTGTCCCCAGGTGTCCCCAACGTGTCCCCAACGTGTCCCCATGGTGTCCCCAGGTCCTTCCGCACGCTCTGCTCCGATGACACCCCCATGGTGTCCCCAAGTGTCCCCATGTCCCCACAGCGTCCCCCATGTCCCCAAGTGTCCCCAGTGTGTCCCCACCGGGTCCCCAGGTCCTTCCGCACGCTCTGCTCCAATGACACCCCCATGGTGTCCCCAACATGTCCCCATGTCCCCAAGTGTCCCCATGTCCCCAAGTGTCCCCATGTCCCCATGGTGTCCCCCGTGTCCCTAACATGTCCTCAACATGTCCCCATGTCCCCAAGGTGTCCCCAACATGTCCCCAATGTGCCCGCAGGTCCTTCTGCACACTCTGCTCCGATGACACCCCCAGGGTGTCCCCAAGTGTCCCCATGTCCCCATAGTGTCCCTAACGTGTCCCCGAGTGTCCCCATGTCCCCAATATGTCCCCAAGTGTCCCCGCGGTGTCCGCAGGTCCTTCCGCACGCTCTGCTCCGATGACACCTCCATGGTGTCCCCAAGTGTCCCCCATGTCCCCAAGTGTCCCCCATGTCCCCAACGTGTCCCCATGTCCCCAACGTGTCCCCAACATGTCCCCCATGTCCCCAAGTGTCCCCGCGGTGTCCGCAGGTACTTCCGCACGCTCTGCTCCGATGACACGCCCATGGTTCGCCGCGCGGCCGCCTCCAAGCTGGGCGAGTTCGCGCGCGTCCTCGAGCTGGAGCACGTCAAGGGGGACATCATCCCCATGTTCGCCAGCCTGGCCGCCGACGAGCAGGTGACACCGGGGACACCGGGGACGTTGGGGACATTGGGACAATGGGGGACACTGGGGGACACTGGGGACACTGGGACAGTGGGGGACATGGGGACACGGGGGGAGCTGGAGCACGTCAAGGGACATCATCCCCATGTTCGCCAGCCTGGCCGCCGACGAGCAGGTGACACCGGGGACACCGGGGACACTGGGGGACACTGGGGACATTGGGGACATTGGGACAATGGGGGACACTGGGGGACACTGGGACAATGGGGGACATGGGGACACGGGGGGAGCTGGAGCACGTCAAGGGACATCATCCCCATGTTCGCCAGCCTGGCCGCCGACGAGCAGGTGACACTGGGGACACTGGGGACACCAGGAACATTGGGGACATTGGGACAATGGGACATTGGGACAACGGGGGACACTGGGGGACACTGGGGGACACTGGGGACACTGGGACAGTGGGGGACATGGGGACACGGGGGGAGCTGGAGCACGTCAAGGGGGACATCATCCCCATGTTCGCCAGCCTGGCCGCCGACGAGCAGGTGACACTGGGGACACTGGTGACACTGGGGGCACTGGGGACACCGGGGACACTGGGGGACACTGGGGACATTGGGAGCATGGGGACGGTGGGAGGGAATGGGGACGACTGGGGGAGCTGGGGACATTGGGGGACATTGGGGGGCATGGAGGGACACAGGGGGACACGGGGACAGCTGGGGGGATGGGAATAGGCGGCGGTCACTGGGGACGTGGGGACAGCGGGGGGGACCCGTGTGTCGTGTGCCCTGTGCCCCCCGTGTCCCCCCGTGTCCCCAACACCCCCAATGTCCCCCATGTCCCCAATGTCCCCA